CTCTGTGGCAACACGATTCCCTAATTCACAGCTCTAGTGCTGTCTCTCCAGACCTCCAGTGCCACTTTCCATCATTATGTTCCTTTGTCACCTCAACTACCCTTGCCCCAGCGCACATTCTCTTCTGTCTTTAATATTACTGTTAAGCATATCATCTGAGGTGTAGATAAAATCTGTTTTTTTAAGACTGCCATTTTTTAACTGTTACTTGAAATAAATTGCAAGAATGCTGTGACTTCTTATTTAAAAAGCTTTAATGCTTCATTATTATCTAATTTACATTCTTCACTCCAAATTCCAAGCCTTTCTCTTCTAACTACAATCTGCAGTCTCATTTTATATTCTACTATGCCCTCACTTATACTCACTCAATCTGCTCTCCATAAATTTACTCTGATGATGAAAAATATCAAGTTTGGATTCTGCTTCATGACATATGTGCATGCTATTCCCTGAATGTGCCTGCCTTTTCCTGGCCTTGTGTTTTAGTCATATTCTTCTGCCTGTAGCTCCACCTAGATGGCATTTTCATATTGTCCCCATTGTTTTGCCAACAGGAAGAGGTGTTCTCCTTCGTTGGAAGCCCACAGCAGTTTTTCTCTGGGTCATGCCACTTTTTCACTCTGCTTTTTTTGTAGTTATTTATAAACTTGACATTTTTCATCAGAGTAAATTTAGGGAGAGCAGAGTTTGTGTCTTACATTTATATATGCTGAGTTAAGCACAGTGTTGGTACTTAGGAAGTAATCTAAAAAATTTTTTTAGTTGAATTACATTTGAAAGTAGAAACTAATATTGGTTCAAAAAAATACACATACAATCTCCGCTAACTAAAACTTCATTATCCAGGGCAAAGGAGACTTGGCTTTGTTTGCCTGCCCTGTTGTAGAGATGATGGAATGGGCCGGCCTGGACAGCATAACTATGAAAGATAATTTCACAGGGTTCTTGCCCTGAGCAGGAAGATAAAAAGGAAACATAGGAACTGAATGGCCCATGAAAAGATTAAATGTAGTATTTAGTAAAAATGGGAATTCAGGAAGGAGAAGCACTGAAAGTCTGAGGTGACTTACTACTTGCCCTAAATTTGAAGATGTGGTTTTTATAAGTTTATATCACTCTTAATTCCAACCTGTAGTTCCCCTCATTGTGGCTTCATGTTTATCGAGATGCAAACAGGAAAAGGATATCCTCTGGCGGTTTATTTGAGGAAGGCCAAGTCATCAGAAAATTACCTCAGACTGTCTGCCTCACCAAATTGTATTTACACATATAGACAGTGATACATTCAGATGACAGGAAAGGAAAAACACGAGATGTTTAATACTTGTCTTAGTCTTATCACCAGGATATGTATTTTTCCCTGGACTTCATTTATCATGATCTTTCTGCTGTATCCCAGCTGCTAGGGTTAAAGTAGTTGAAAGGTGAGGGCTCAATCTTTTCCATACCTTACCTGCATGAACATGGAGTGTCTTCTGACCCACATTTGTTGTACCAACCCTTGGTGTTACCATATGAGTTTCTAAGCTCTATCAAATTTTCTTTTTTTTTTCCCCTTCTTTACATTTCCTTATTGAAATTCTCCAGTTTTCCTCTAATTATGTTTTTTTTTTCTTTTAAATCCTTGATATAATAACTGTTGAAAGTTCTTGTCTCCTAATTCTATCATCTCTGTCATTCCCAGGTCTCTTTATATTGATTGCTTTTTTTCCTCCTGGTTATAGGTCAGATTTCCCAGCTTCACATATCTGTTAAGTTTTTATTGTATGCTGCACATTGTAGATGCTACATTTAAAAAAGTTCTTATTTAGTTATTAGAGAATTAAACTTTCTGTCTAGGAACTGCATCTTCAGAAATACCATGCAGTGAGTAATGTCTAGTCTTGGGGGTTATCATACCTACCTTTACCTCAGGAACCTGGCCTGCCTTTGTTTAGTCAAGGATTTAGACCTTGGTTTTTATTACACATAGTTCTTTTTATTCATTTATTTTTAAATTTAAAAAAAAGACTTTTTTATTTCCTAGCATGTTTTTGGCCAGTATTATTTTTTATTATTGATTCCTATTTTGTCAGCTTATCCTCTTGTATACTCTTAATATTTTAACAGCTTAGTATATTTTTTAATTAATTGTATTCATTCTTTTTATACTACTTTGAAAAAAACAGCTATAAGAAGGCAATTATAAGAATAGAATATATTCTTTGCATTTAGCTTTAAAGTGTTTCTAAGGGAGCCATCCATCTTTTTATCAGACATCCAAAAAGGGGGAATGAGACTAGGCTGAAATAGTCTGTCAGGGGATGAAAACTTTACATTAGTGAAGACAGGGTAGCTTAGGAGCCTTAATTTATAATGTACATTGTGCTTAAAATTTGACAAAATGGAAAAGGGCCATTTTTTTTCCGTATTCTGAAAAATTAAGTTGTATAAAAAAATGTTGCTTTAGTGTTCTTGAACACTAGTTTCTTAGATTAAAATTTGTGTAAGTAAGTTAGGTTTTGGAGAAAGTCTTTTTAGCACATACACATGTTTAAATTAAGACTACTTGCCTTTGATAAGGGACTATAACCTGTAAGCAAGTTTGTGGTTCTAAAAATGTATTACTCAGAAATATACTCCATTTAAAACCTAAAGTTTCGTAGCCAGAAAACAGTTCAGAGCATACTAGTTAGTCATGAGATAGGATTGCCCCTGTATGACTGTGTCTTAGTCTATTCAGGCTACTGTAACAAAATACGATAGACTGGGTAGCTTATAAACAACAGAAATTAATTTCTTACAGCTCTTGAGGCTGGAAAATTCAAGATCAAGGCAATGGCAGGTTTGGTGTCTGGTGAAGGCCATTTTTCTGATTCATAAATGGTACTTTCTAGCTGTGTTTTTTTGTGGTGGAAGGGGTAAATGAGTTCCCTCGGGCCTCTATAGGGGTATTGATCCCATTCATGAGAATTCTCAATATCCAATCCCAATCTAAGTACTATCACCTTAGAGGTTAGGATTTCAGCATAAGAATTTTGAGAGAACACAAACATTCATACCATAGCAGACCCTTAAGAGCCAGCTTGTCTAATCTTAAAGATCTCAAGTGAGATATTTAGTCTGGATTATTAACCAGCTATCACTTAAAGCTGTGCAGAAATCCAAGGGAAGTATAAGGCATAGTCTTTAGAAACAGATCAGGACTCTTTCAGTTGCAGATATCAAAGCCCTAACTTGAATTTACAAAAGCCAAAAAGATAATTTATTGACCATCAGAGAAAGCAGAGGCGCAGCGCTGGCCACCAGGAACCTGGATTCTTGCAAGTGTGTCTGTCCCTGTTTGTCTTTCTCTCTCTGGTCTTTAGGCTCCCTGTAGCTTATTTTTGCTTCCTCTCTGCCTCTGCTTTTTGTCACTAGTGCTCTTTGCTGCATGTGCTGCGTTCTTCCTTTTTCTGTCCTGCGTGCTCTTTCTGTTGCTTGGTTGCTCTCTATCTCTGCCTCTTTCTGTGTCTGCCTTTCCTGGTTGGTGTCTTCCTCCCCCTTCCCCTGCCCCTGTTACTGCCTCCTATCAGAGAAAGGCATTTTCATGTGGCTGTAGATCAGGCGTCCTTAAACTAGGGCCCACGGGCCACATGCGGCTTGCCGGGTGTTTTTGCCGCCACTGCCTGTCCTGCTTAGCAGCCGACTCCTCTCGGGCCCACAGTGCGCATGTGTGGAATGTATGCCGCACTCTCCAACAGCCCTCCAATAGTCTGAGGTACAGTGAACTGGCCCCCTGTTTAAAAAGTTTGAGGACCCCTGCTGTAGATTGTCTACTCAACCTTTTTCTCATTCAGCAACCAGAAGAGAAAGGATGCTCTGCTTCTAGCTCCAATTACTTATAAAAATCTGGAGAAAAAAACCTTTCTACCTTACCTTATGTAGCCAGGGAACCCAGTACTGTTCCCCACTGGAATCTCTGGGTTTAAGATGGAGATGAACAGCAATCCTCAAAAGCAGGAAGATATTCTGGGCAGCTAAACTAGTAAATGTTCAAAACAAGAAATGATACTTAAATGTTTGGATGAAGATTCTACAGTCTTCACTAAAAGTCATATTTGCTCATTTTTTATTATAGAATTCCTGTTTACTTTATTCTCTCATAACATTAATATTCATACTTTTTCATTTATATTAATCAAGTGAGCATAATATTTAGAAATATTTTTTAATAATGTACTTTAGGACAATTATTTTCTGAAAGCCATCATTATTTTCTATGAATGACCTTTTAATGTGTAGGTTTTAAAATTTTTTTAAATATGTTCTCTAGTTTTTTTCCACTTCCCAAAGTAGAGGATAATTTATAGTTTTTAAAAATTTGATATTTTCTTTAAGATCTGAGACTACTATGTTTTCAAACTTATAGTTGTAAGTATTAGTTCATTTTAAAGATTAGTTAGAATAATTGCAGCCCTTTAGCACACTATTAGATTCAACAATAAGGTATTGGGAAGTGGTGGGTATTTGTTCAATACTTTATGATGAGTCTGTTTTAGCGCATTTCAGTACTATTCTTTACCTCTAAATTTGCTCTTAATTTACATGATTACCTATCCTGCTAGACTTTAATTCTCTGTGGATGAAAACCAAATATATTTTTCACATCACCCAGCATAAGCTAATGGGTACTCATAAAGTGATTGTTCGTTAACTCTCTTTCTTGTACTTTGTTTTAGAAAACTTTGTACTTTCAGGAAATGCAAGTTTTGTTGGGAAAGAGAACTTTCCAACGGAACTTACTGGTTCAGATTTATCACCTAGTTGTCACATGGTGGAATGATGAGCTTGTATTTGGGGCAGAAAGAAACCTTTTTAAAATAAGTATCATTTCATTATATTCTTGATATAGTGTGCAGCGTTGCCTAATTCTTTATAATATTTTGTAAGGAAGGGGTAGATTTTGATTAAGTCAAAGTATGACATATGATATTTTTAAGATGAAAATGGTAAGTGATCGAGATTTATTTCTGTAGGCTACGGAGAGTGAGGTAGGAGATGTAGATTTAACACGTCTTCCAGAAGGACCTGTTGATTCTGAGGATGAAGAAGAGGAAGATGAAGAAATTGATCGAACAGATCCATTGCAGGGACGAGATCTTGTTCGAGAATGTCTTGAAAAAGAGCCTGCAGACAAAACTGATGATGACATTGGTAAGAAATACATCTGTTCACAATAAGAATTTGTAACTTTTATGCAATTCCATATTGCCACATAACAAATTACTCTAGAATTTAATGGCTTTAAACGACATATATTTATGTCTAAGTTTTTATGGGTCAGGAATTCAGGAGCAGCTTAGCTTGGTGGTTCTGGCTCAGCATCTCTCATGAGGCTGTAGTCGGGATACCGACAGGGGCTGCAGTCATCTGAGTCTTCTCTGGCCAGAGTGGGAGGATCTGTGCCAAGATGGCTACTCACAATGGCTTTTGGCACAGTGCCCACAGTTCCTCTTCACGGGGGCCTCTCCACAGGCTGCTTTACATGTGACAGTAGCTTCCCCCCAAGTAACTGATCCCAGGGAGAATGAAGCAGATGCTACAATGGTCTTTTATGATCTGGATTCAGGAGTGACACATCACTTCTGCCAAATTGTTGTTTGTCACACTGAACAACCCTGATATATTATGGTCGGGGCTATACAAGGATATGAATGTCAGGAGGCAGGAATCACTGAGAGCCATCTTTGAGGTTGGTTGCCATAATTGATAAAAAAAAAGCTTTGATTGCATTAAACTTAAGCCTTCATGTTCATAAGACATTTAAAACACAATTCAGCAATGTCCATTGTCTGTGAATTAGCTTTTTTAAAACTTTTGAGTATGTTTAACAATCATATTTTTTATTTCCTTAGCTTGAAAAATATATGTATATTTTAATTTTTGGCTAAAATTTTATGAATTTTCCTTATAGTTTTTTACAGAAGTAGTAATTACTATACTTTGATTGGGAAGTTGAATGATACTAAAGAGGCTAACGTTATTTTTAACACATTGGTGGCCACACTAGAAAAAAATTTTTTTTTCCTTTGGGCCATGGTGTTTTATTATGAAAATAGAATTAAAACTTTGAAAACAAAATGAATCTTTCTAATGAAAAATTTGTTATTTTTTATTATTTTCTGTGCACGAGTTATATGCAACTTGAAAAATAGTTCTCACAGCCCCTAAAGTGAAGAAATATGTGAGTTACGTATGCTTCACGAGACCCCAGGCTCAAAACTAACATGAGTTAAGTACAATTCACGTGGCAGTTAATCTGTTAAGGAACAAAGATTATTTAATGTCAGTTATATATGGTTATGACTCAATTGAGATTTTAGCCTAGATTTCATTTTTATAATAGTCATTGTCATTCCAATTAGAATATGCTGCTACCAATAACAATCACAATTTGTGTGGGGTAAAGATCAAGATATTTGAATATTCTTTTTCATTCCAAAGATGTAATATAGTTAAATAACCTGCAGTGTAGATTCATGTTGTAAACATTATCTGGACAGAAACTGAAAGTGCTTTTTTTTTTTTTTGAGACAGGGTCTTTTTTTGTTGCCCAGGCTAGAGTACAGTGGTGTCGTCATAGTTCTCTGTAACCTCAGACTCCAGGACTCAAGCAATTCTCTTGGCTCACACTGTTGAGTGGCTGGGAACTACAGGCAGATGGCACCACGCCCAGCTAATTTTTCTATATTTTGTAGAGACAAGAGTCTCACTCTTGTTCAGGCTGTTCTGGAACTCCTGGCAATCCTCTTGTCTTGGCCTCCCAGAGTGCTAGGGTTACAGGTTTGAGCCACTGCACCAGGCCTGAAAGTGCATTTTTAATGATAAATAAATGTATACTATACAAATTTTCAGAAAAATTTTTAAACATTTAAATATAATTAACCCCAGTTTTCTTGGGTATATAGCATCTTATAGTCATTTTTGTTCATTCTCTTAGCTGACTGCTTGTATGTGTTTCTCCCTTACATTTATTACACATGTATCTATGCCAGGGAATGGACTAAGGCACCAATAAACATTTGTGTGTTAAATTTAAGAGAGTTACCTAGTTGCTGTGACAAATCTCGAACTAGAATTCACATTTGTTATTTCAAATCTAGTTAATTACTGACATTAATAACAAAAAAAGCCCTCTACGCTGGTAAGAACTAGACAAAAGTCTTTTTCACTAATCTGGTAGATCAAAGGGCATCACTAAACTTTATCACCACAGAGTGGCACCTCAGGCTAGGAAAGTTAGACGCACTCTCCAGCCTCATCTGAACCTGTGTAGTGTCCTGCTTTTCTCTGGTGGTTGTGAATTCTGGTGTCTTCTAACATGCCCATATTTATATGAATCTAAATATATGTATAAACCAAATGATTTTTTAATTCAACAGTCATGGTTTCTCTGTTTTAACAGCATAAATTTTTAAGTTGATTAGGAAATCAGCTATTGAATTCTAGATTTTGTTATATCTTTAAGGTATAATCCTTGATGGTCTTTGTACTAGAATATCTGTTTTCTTACAGAACAACTTCTGGAGTTTATGCACCAGCTCCCTGCTTTTGCAAACATGACCATGTCTGTAAGGAGAGAGCTCTGCTCAGTGATGATCTTTGAAGTGGTAGAGCAGGCTGGAGCTATTATTCTTGAAGATGGGCAAGAGGTATGTCAGCAAATAAATTATATACATTATTTAGTATGGCTACTAATTTTTAGAATTTAATTTCCGTAAACTTATATAAATCCTGATTTTTTAACTTCTGTAATTTTTTAAATGAATGCTGAGTTTTTATGGTTTCTGAAGAGAAAAGTTTTTGATTTTGCTTTACTTTGTCTTAATATTTGATTTAGCAGTGGACTTTGTGTAGAATAGGTGCTTAATAAATAATATTCACTGAACCAAATTCGTTTTTACTTCTCAAAATGGTTTCTAAGACTTTTTAAATATTCTTAATTATTGTTTTATATGTATATTTTTATCATTATTATTTAAATGTTTATCATATATTTACTCTCCTAATTTCTGTTATACAGTTTTTTAAAAAATAATGAGGGAAATGTATTGGTACCAGTGCCTCCTAGTACACTGCTGCCAGTCGAGGCATGAGGCATTTATGTTGCAATTCTGTGTTCAGAAATTGGCAACTTGTGGAGGGGTAAAGAAAGTTTGCAGGGGGATTGGAAAGTATTACTGCTGTTAAGAAATGCTTCACTGTTTTTCTTGTCAAGTATATAAAGATTAATGCTGAGATACCAGTAAATGAACATTGTTATATACTGCTAGTAGGAATATAAATTGGTACAGCAATTCTGAAAAGTCATTTAGAAATTCTTTTTTTTTTTTTTTTTTTGAGACAGAGTCTCGCTTTGTTGCCCAGGCTAGAGTGAGTGCCGTGGCGTCAGCCTAGCTCACAGCAACCTCAAACTCCTGGGCTCAAGCTATCCTCCTGCCTCATCCTCCTGAGTAGCTGGGACTACACGCATGCGCCACCATGCCAGGCTAATTTTTTCTATTTATTTTTAGTTGGCCAATTAATTTCTTTATAATTTTAGTAGAGACGGGTCTCGCTCTTGCTCAGGCTGGTCTCGAACTCCTGGCCTTGAGTTATCCGCCCACCTCAACCTCCCAGAGTGCTAGGATTACAGGTGTGAGCCACCATGCCTGGCCTCTGATTATTTTTAAATTGTGTGATAGAAGTTCTTTGAGGGCAGGGCCCTTTTCTCTAACTCTATTTACATATTTTTCTCCTCGCATCCTAGAAAACATCTGGCAAATAGAATATGTTCCTCCCAAAAGTTTGATGAACAAGTAAACATAGTATTTTTTTAAAGCAGGGTAGTCTCAATATTTCATCAATATAAAATAATATATATAGGAGAGAAATAAATGAAACTTTAAAGAACTGTGTGCAAACAGTAGGATTTTGAGTAACTTTTCTTTTCCACAAGTTTTTGCATTCTTTTAATTTTCCACACTTATGTCAGGAAAAATTTGTTGTGTTTCTACTTTATACCAGGTACTATTCTAGACACAGAGATACAGTGGTGAAAAAAACCACAGTGCCTGTCTTCAAGTAGCTTATATAATACATAAGTTCTACAGTGAGTATATTTTATGTTAAAAATAGTCAAGAAAAGTACACGTTTGAAAAAAGTATTTCTTACTGCCACTGATAACCCTTAAAAACTGACAATCTACATTTCTCTTAAATCACATTAAAACAGTTAAAAGTTTAGGCTTATAAGAAAGAGGAGTTGGATGGTGCTCAAATGGGGATAGTGCCCACTAGGGTTTGGGGGAGGGGGAGGTACACATTTTAGGGTTGTGGTGAGCATAGAGGGGGGAGGGAATACATCTAACCTTTCTAAGGGAAAGGCTAAGATATATAATGTAACCCAAAAGTCAAAAAAGAAAAAACAAAGTTTTATCAGGTGGTGGGCAAATGGGAGGGGGGAGGAGGGGAAGAATTTACACTTACAAAAAAGGTGCCATGCGTACCATCTGAGGGTAGGACACACTTGATGTTTTGGTAAGGGGGGGGGCATGGGGCAGGGGGAGGAATGGCAGGGGCAATATATGTAATCCTAACAATATTTGTACCCCCATAATATGATAAAATTAAACAAAAAAAAAAGAGAGGAATTGGATATTAAAGGACAATAAGTGGTCTTTCATTGATACCCAGTAGACTTTTAAAATATATCTTCTTCGAGCATTAAATACTCACACATAAATGAAGGCAGTTTTTTCTTAAAAGAAATTTGAGTATTTCATTTTGTGAGATATCCCTCAAAGTTCAGGCTCTTACTGGTCTTTCTGAATTAATCACTAGCTATCTATTTTTTTTTTTTTGATTGCTTGCTATGTGCCAGGCACTGTTCTAAGCACTTACATGTATATTAACTCATTTAATTAACATAGCAGTTCTGTGATAGATACTGTTATTAATTGCCATTTCAGCAGTAGGGAAACTGAGGTCCAAGAAAGGTTAAATAACTTGCCAGAAGTCACTTAGCTACTTGGTGGCATGGTCTGGATTAAGATTCCAAGAGTTTATGTTCTTAAACATAATACTATTTTGCCTCAGAGAATTTGATCAATTATGAAAGCCCTTGTTTGGTGACTAAAAGAAGAAAGTAAAATAAACTTTAGTGGTTTGCATAGACAAGGCATAGAGTATTACTAACAGAGTATTTTGTAATATAACCAGATCCTTCTTTTTAAAATTATACAAATTATGTATATTGATAGATTCTTTTCAAAGTTAACATATAACTATCTTTTTAAAAAGAGTCTTAAAACCTTTGTTTTTCTCTATAGCTCGACTCATGGTATGTTATTTTAAATGGCACTGTAGAAATCAGTCATCCAGATGGAAGAGTTGAAAATCTGTTTATGGGAAATAGTTTTGGAATCACTCCCACTCTGGATAAGCAGTACATGCATGGAGTTGTCAGGACTAAAGTAGATGATTGTCAGGTAAGGGCATCTCCTGGTCAAGTACTCTTGCTTGTTTTTTAACTTAAAATAGCCAAGCATGTTTTTTCTTCCTCAAAATAAAATAGCTTGATTTGAGAATTAGGAGTTTGAAATAGCTCACAGTTACTACAGAAAACTAGATTTTATATCTGCCTCAGATATTTGTGGAATTGAGCAAGCTATAAATTTTGAAAAGAGAATACATACCAAATAAATGCTGGTTGGTTAAATTTCTGTTGGGCATCAGCCAGCTCAGTCTTTTTTAAAAAAAATAAAGGAGAGGAATAGGAACTTCTGAGTTGTTTCTAATTTACTCCTGCTTCATGGTTTCTTTGTATAGGCTCTGTTTTGAGAGAAGTAGATGTTCACTTCTCCTTTTAAAGAGCAAAATTCAAACAGATTAGACTTCTTTGGTCTCTTTGTGCCTCAGTTGTTTCACTGTGATTTTTGTTAAGGGTTAAAGGAATTGAATGAAAAGTAACTGATGGCACTTGATTTCTTACCTTTGTGCTCTGCCTTGGTGCCTAGCAGTATATTTATGTACTGCAGGTTCATTAACTGTCCCCATGTTGTTCTTGGACAGTTTGTCTGCATAGCCCAGCAGGATTATTGGAGAATTTTAAATCATGTGGAAAAAAATACCCATAAAGTTGAGGAAGAGGGAGAAATTGTTATGGTGCATGAGCACCGTGAGCTGGACCGGAGTGGAACCAGGAAAGGACATATTGTGATCAAGGTGGGTGTTTTTATTTATTATTCTAGTCACTAAGAGAATAAAGCTTTCATCTTGTTTTTAAAAACCACTTTTTGAGTAGTGCAGGATAAATCACTAACATATTGGAATCTAATCTAAATAAATATGTTGGCTCTTCTGTCTTTTTCTGAACTGGTTCTTATACATTTTAATGATGAATGATGACTTACTGCCATTTAATGGGGCTGGGTATGGATAGTGTATTATTTTAGAATACACTGGTCAAAGTTTTCCCTCTCAAATTTATTTTATAATCCACTAATAATGTAAGTTGATTTCATCAAAAACAGCAGTATTTATAAACATTACAGAAAGTTCAAGGACCAACCATAAAGGCATAGGGGACTCTAGGTGAAGATGCACAGTGCTTGCTTGAATCTTTGTGACGTTGAAATGGGCATCTGCTTTTCTGAACCTCACTTTTCTTACCTGGTAATGGAGCTAATACAACAAGGCTTCATTCGGGCTAAATGAGGTAAATCAAAAACCATAGCATGATTGTAGAGTCTGAGTATTAATCCTCATGCTGTTTTCCCTTCTCTAGGTCTTCTCCTCTACTCATGGCCTCCCCCCTCCTTGTCTCTTTAAAGAGACCTCTGGATGTAAACTAGAACAATTACAGCTGAAAGAGTATATATGCATAACTGTTTCTCTTTTCAAGCTAGTCTTGCTTGCAAAAAAGTGTCTTTATTAATTGCTAATGGAACAGTTTATTTAATAGTGTGAAGGAGATAAGTTAGATGATTTGAGGTCTGATGTTATATTCGTTCTTCCTTGAGAGTAAGGCTCTTCCTCAGAGCTGTCTCTTTCTTTTCCTAAACAGGTGAGTGTAAGCCTTGTTAATAGAAAAGATGAACATGTAGGTGGACTGCCATAGACTAATGCGTATGTTTTTTTCATTTTAACTCATTTTGTCTTTTTTGGGGGGACGGACTCATGTTTTTTAGTAATTTATTTCTAAATAATATCAAACTTACAGAAAAGTTACAAGAACAGTACAGAGAGCTCTGTGACTCAGATTCCCCAGCTGTTAATATTTCACTGCACTTGTTCTATTATCATCAGTCCTTTTCTGGAGCATTTGAGAGCAATCTGCAAAGATGATGCCTCATCACTCCTAAGTATTCCATTGTATATTTCTTAAAAACAAAGATACTCTCTGACATGAACACCACAGAATCCTTCAAGTTAGGAAGTAAACATTGTTAAATAAAATCATTCAGCCCAAAGACCCTATTTAGATTTTTACCAACTGTCCCAGCAAGGTCTTTTTTTCATTTCTGGTCCAGTATCTTACATAGGAAAATAGCTGCATCTAGTTGTCATGTCATTTCTGTCTAAACCACTTCCTCAGTCCTTTCCTGTTCATATCCTCAGCAGTGTTAAAGGGCACAGATCTTATATTCGTAGTATCACCTTCCACTTGGATCTTTCCAGTGTTTTCTCCTGACCAGATTCCAGTCATGCTTTCCAGGAGGGATTCCACAGAAATGGCGCTGTGCTTTTCTTGGTGCATCACGTCAGGGGGACATGATGTCAACCTGTCATCCCACCAGTGAAGTTAGCTTTGATGACCTGGTCATGTTGGTGTCTGTCTCCCTGGTTTCTTCACTATAACATCACCTTCTTACCCTTTGTAATTGTTAAGTATTTGGTGGAGAGATGTTCTGAGATGGTATCAATATACTAGCCACAAACCTAGAATATCCACTAGGTAAAAACATCCATCCACCAGTCTTTACTTCCATTGACTACTCTTACCTCAAATAGTAATATCCTATTTCCATAATTTCTCCTACATTTACTGTCACTTTACTGTAAAAATGAGCCTTCTCTATTTATTTATGTTGGTATAGGCTAACTTTGTATTCCCTTACCATTAGCATTATTATTTGTAGGCTCAAATTGTCCCCAATTTAGTCAGTGGGTCCCTCTTAAAACCAACTCCTATATTCTTTATACATGTCCCCTTCATTCTTGGAGCATTTCTTTATAATCTTGGAAATAATAAGGCTCATTTTGAACTTTTCCTGCTCCAGCTCTAGAATAAGCCATTTATCCAGAGAGCCCTGGATCTATTGGAAGATGGCATTTATAAACCGAGATTTATGCACTTGGTTCATTGCTACTGATGTCTCATTGCTTTTAGAGCTTCTCGTCAGACAGATCTAGGAGATATATACATATATATGGTTATTAAATATAAAATGCCCGATTTCTAATCAATAGTGTAGTTTATTATATCTCAACAAGAAGCAGTCCAGTTAAAATATGCTCCTAAACTATTGACACAGTTTTGCTATCTTAATGATAGCTAGTTTATGCCAGCAGCAAGAAAGCCTGGAGAGCAAGTGGCAATGAAATTGCAAAAGATGTTTTCCACAGCTTGTTGAGAAGTGAGTATTTTTCCTTATAATAAGTGGTCCAAAGCCTGGAAGAAGTGGTAGTCAGTTGTTGCAAGGTCTGGTGAATATGGTGGATGACAGAGAGTTTCCAAGTCTAGCTGCTATAGTTTGAGCAGCGTTGTTTGTGCAACATGTGGTAGAACATTGTCTTGAGCAAGACCCCCATCTCTACTAAAAATATAAAATGTAGCAGGGTGTCATGACAGGTGTCTATAGTCCCAGCTGCTTGAGAGGCTGAGGCAAGAGGATCACTTAAGCCGAGATGTTTGAGGTTGCAGTGAGCTACAATGATGCCACTACACTCCATCCAGGGTTACAGAGCAAAACTCTGTCTCAAAAAAATAAAAATTATCAGGTAAAAACATTGTTAGTATTAATGTATGTTTATCATATAGTTATTCTGAACAGTGAAATTGTTAGGATGAATGCAGCAAATTGAAGTTCGGAGTTATGGGTCACAGTTGGTTTTATATCAGGCTCACCATTTGATTTCTGTGTTTGTTCTTCATACCTACTTTCGAAAAAGCTACAAAGGATAATAAATTTAACATTTGTTCAAAAGCTCATAGAGGAGCAGTAGGGAAATGTTTATTTACATTATTTAATAAATTTGGTTACAGGCAAGCATTTAAAACTTTGAATTAATGTAAAAGTTATCTGTAGAGCTTCTGGTTCCTCTCAAGATGGTGAACTAGTGTGAAGAAACTATGGAAGAGGAAACATCTATTCTAGGAAGTAACAGTAACAGGGCTATCTTGAACTAACTGCTGTGGTGATCTTACAGTCAGAGCAGAAGAGATTTTCAAGTTTAATCAAATTTGGAGGAAAGCTTTACTTTAGAAAAAAATAGTTTAACTCTCACTTCTTCCTTCTGTTGTCTTAATTACATGTCCCTATTGCGGCAGAAGTGGCAGTGACAGCCCGCTCTAGGGACAAATCAGCGATGTTTGAAGGCCTTGCTATAATGAAATGCAAATAAAAATAGCTTTAGCTGAATAAATGCTGTTGAGTATTTATTTCTCTGCTTTTCCTTTCTCTATACCTCTGGGTGCTAGTGGGTTACAGCCTAAAGAGACTGCCTTCTCACAGTGATAAGGATTCAAAGGCGAAGCTCTGCTCTGAGGACTTGTCTGATGGGTTATTGACAGAAGAGGGTAATAGCAGTAGTTCTTTGGTTTCTAAGCTATTTGTCTATTTTCTAATCCGTTCTGTCCTTGGGTTTTTAGGCAACACCTGAGCGTCTCATCATGCATTTAATAGAAGAACATTCCATTGTGGACCCAACTTATATAGAAGATTTTCTATTAACTTATAGGACATTTCTTCAAAGTCCTTTGGATGTTGGGATCAAACTACTGGAGTGGTTTAAGATTGACAGCTTAAGGGATAAGGTTGGTTTTATAAACAGCATGAAAGTGATTTTAGCCTTTAAATTGTATTCATGAAACCTTTTGCAGTTGATTAAATGTTTATTTTATAACAAGATTTAGTTCACCTAAAACATTAGTGAGTCAGTATGAACACAACTCTGCTTACTTTTATGACAGAATAGCATGTTAAAAATGAACATGAGCCTTGAAAGGCAAAAACCAAAATAAAACTGTGGTGAAGCTGACATGATAGCTACATGAGAGTATTTTAGAATCTTAAAAAATATTTGGTGGTTTCTGAGGATCATTAAAACATTTAAAGGCTGATTAATAATTTAGAAAGAATATTTACCAAATAATTTTTTTTCAAGAGGGCTTGTTTTTAAGCTTCAAAATAGGTATATCTTAATTTTCCTTAGTTACAGACTTTATAATCATTTGAAAACAATTGGTCAAACTTTAATTTCTCTGTCCTGTGAGTTATTTAAATCTTCCTATGAGTATTTTCTTGCATTAAACATTGCCGTTTAAAATTATCTTATATTTCAGGCCGGGCGCGGTGGCTCACGCCTGTAATCCTAGCTCTCTGGGAGGCCGAGGCGGGCGGATTGCTCGAGGTCAGGAGTTCGAAACCAGCCTGAGCAAGAGCGAGACCCCGTCTCTACTATAAATAGAAAGAAATTAATTGGCCAACTAATATATATACAAAAAATTAGCCAGGCATGGTGGCACATGCCTGTAGTCCCAGCTACTTGGGAGGCTGAGGCAGGAGGATCCCTTGAGCCCAGTAGTTTGAGGTTGCTGTGAGCTAGGCTGACGCCACGGCACTCACTCTAGCCTGGGCAACAAAGCGAGACTCTGTCTCAAAAAATAAATAAATAAATAAATAAATAAATAAATAAATAAATAAATAAATAAATAAATAAATAAATAAAATTATCTTATATTTCACAAGGTATGTTTGTACATTTAAGGGAAAGACTAATATCTTAGCAAATTGGTAATAAGTTGTTTTAAGAAAATAAAAAATAGGGCCATGATTGCCTGGTATATCTTTCTGAGTTATATTTTAAAGGAAATAAATTGGATGCAGGTAGACTGTGGAATTCTGTTATTTAGGAGACTAAAGTATCCACAACTGATAGGCTTGCCCGCCTCCCCCACTTTTTAGAATGTAATATATTTACTTTGGTTGCTGAGAAAATAAAGGCATGCTTAATTAATAAACAAAAATAGGATTTAGGAGTAGTAGATATCTATATGTAAAATTATGAAATTATACCCTTATATACCATAAATAAAAATTTACTCAAATAGATCAAAGACCTAAATGTAAGAGGTTTTAATAGTCTTTAAAAAAAAGATAGGGATAAATCTTTATGACGTTGGAATTGGCAATGGTTTCTCAAATATGACACCCAAAGCATAAGTGACAAAAGAAAAAAATAAATAGGACTTCATTAAAATTAAAAACATTTCTGCATCAAAGAACACTATCAAAAAAGACAAGACAACACAGAATAGGAGAATATGTTTCCAAATCATATATCCGATCAGGGTATAGTATCCAGAAGGTATAAAAAACTCTCACAACTCAGCAACAGAGAGAGCACAATTATAAAAGGGACTTCAATAGACATTTCTCTAAAGAAGATACATAAATGGCCAACAAGCACATGAAGATTTTCTACATCATTAGTCATAAGGAAATGGAAATCAAAATCACAATGAGATACCACTTCACACCTACTGGGATGGCTTTTTTAAAAAGAGAAAACAATAAACATTGCCAAGGATTTGGAGAAATTGGATGTCCCCTTTCTCCCACATTGATGATGGGAATGTAAAATGATGCAGCCTCTGTGGAAAGCAGCTTGGCAGTTCTTCAAGAAGTTAAGCTTAGAGTTACCAACTAACCAAGCAATTCTACTTCTAGGTGTATACCCAAACAGAACCAAAACAGGTGTGCAAACAAAAACTTGTACATTAAATATTCATAGTCGCACTATTGACACTATGGAAACAACCCAAATGTCCATCATGGATAAGCAAAATGTGGTAGAGCCTTACAATAAAATATTATTCAGTGGTGAAAATAAATGAAGTACTGATCCATGCTATGGCATGGATGAACCTGGAAAACTTGATGCTAAGTGAAAGAAGCCAGTCACAAAAGGCTACATATTGTATGATTCTATTTATATGAAATATCCAGAATAAACAAATACACAGACAGAAAAGGAGATTGGTGTCTGCCAGGGGCTGGAGAGAGGGCAGAATGGGAAGTGACAGCTTAATGAGTCTGGGTTTTTTTCTTGGGGTGGTAAAAATATTCCGAAACTCGGAACTAGACAGTGGTGATGGTTGCACAACATTGTGAATGTACAAAATGCCACTGAACTGTGCAGTTTAAAATGGTTGAAATGATTATATGTGTATTCTACCACAATTTTTAAAAATATGGGTCATGTTTACATTGTTAGGCACATTATTCAAGTCAACGTACATTTTTTAATTTTTAACTTTTCTGTTAATCTGTGGAGCAAAGTAAATTATTTCACCATTTTGAAAATTCACAATATTTATAATTAATGAAGTTTCAGATTTGTTTTTGTTACAGTTTTGGTTAAATGTGTTCTTGATTATAGAAACACTTTTGATGTAGTTTTTTAGTTGATATGATTACCTACATTTATGATGTGAATTTTGCATTTTAAGTTGCTATCTGAAATATATACATCTTAGCATACAGGATTGTGTCTTCTCACTGAGCTCACAGAGTCCTGGCTCTTGTTACTTGTGCACCCAAGGAAGCAAAAGCTTAAACTATATCTTCCTATCAGAATGAGCCTTTTGTGCACAAGGAAGGAGGGCAAGAGGGTTAGCGGTAAAGCTCAGTTCCTCCTCAGCTTGGGACATGCTTTTGGATCTGCTTTTGCAAGAGGACTGCCTCTCATAACCACATGCTGCCTCCTTCATATTTCCACAGGTGACACGGATTGTATTATTATGGGTAAATAATCATTTTAATGATTTTGAAGGTGATCCTGCTATGACTCGATTTCTAGAGGAATTTGAAAGAAATCTGGAAGATACAGTAAGGATCAAAAGAATTTATATTTTCTTTAAGTTTCCGGGTTACTCTGTCCATCAACTTCCCATGACCAAGAACAGAACTCAGAACAGCAAGAGCTTTCATCCTCTCCTGTGTCTTGACTTTTGCTCATCCTCTGTCACCCCACCCAAACAAAAATCATGCTTCCTCCTGAATCTTCCATTTCTGTTTTAAGACTAATGACATCTTATCTCTTACTTACCCAGGCTCATAAACACTGATGTGATCCATATATGTGGCCCTCCTCTCTCTTGACCTTTAATACCCTGGCCAAGATATCCAGTTAGTTGCTAAAGTCACCCAGTCCCTGATTTATACATACACATATTTCCTCTTTCTCAGCCATTTCTTTTTTCACTCCCCAGGTTAGGACCTCATTAGTTCATTATACTTGATCGTAGTTCTAATCTCTCTTCCTTCTATGTGGCTTCCATTCTGTGTGGCTGAAATACTGTTTTTAAACCATACATGTGATGAATATTACTCTGTCAGTAAACCATATTTTCTACCAAAGTCATTCCTCATCCATATATTCAGGTCCCTCATCTACCTTTTCAGCCTTTGTCCTGTGTATCTCAGATTATAGCCAGACCGGACTATTTTATATTCTTTGCTAGTTCTGCCTCTAAGCCATGCTGGAATTCTCTCCCAGTCATGCTGTTTGAGACTCTGTGTGACCTTCAGTGCACATCTCACATATCAGATCGAGGTCTCTCCCTGCTACATGTAATTTCACCTGTTCTAAGTATATAGCACCTAAGATAATTACCTCAAGGTCCTCTTAACTTAGTAGCCATTCATAAATCTTTTTTATTCTCCTTGTCAGATATAAAACTTGAAGCTGCAACTTTTCAAGGTGCCCCAAGCACCTTAAAATTTTAGGAAATCAGAACGGTGGCTTAAAGAGTATAGCTCAGGAATCAGATTGCCTGAATTAAGATCTAGGCTGCACCACTTTGTGGATATTTAAACTAGGACAAGTTGCCTAAGCTTTTATGCCTCAGTTGTATTATTTGTAAAAGTAGTAGTCCTTAGTTTGGTGAGATTGAGATGAGGATTATAATGAGCTAATGATTATAACAATTTGAAAACAAAACCTGACATATAGCAAATGCCAAATAATTATAGTTATTACTTATAGAGTGTAAGTGGATAGAGTTGAATAAAGTGGGGAAAATTGGTAGATTTGGTCCCTTTCCTTACCCCTTTGTTCCCATAGACTTCTCAGCAGGATTTCTGCTCTATGCAAAATGGGGAGAATGAACAGGGACTGGCAAACTTGCTTAAAGGGCCACAGAATTATTCTGCCACCATTCAGCTCTTCCAGTGCTGGCTGTGTAGATATTTAAGCAACACTGGAATGTGGAAACTGCCTTTTAGTCATGGGATTGTTTTTTCCTGTAATCAGTCAGTCATCAGGTATTTATTGAATTCTACTTTATACTCCAAGGTGTTATGTAGGATCAGAACAAGTATAAGACTCGATCTCTGCTCTGAAAAACACTTTAGCTTTTTGTTACGGATGTGAGATTTTCACATATTACGCTATTTGAGAATAATCGACTGTTAAACTGGTATTAGAATCTGGAAGTTAGAGTATTACTGAGTTTAAGGAAGAGCTAAAATAATAAGTCTTTTCTGGAGATAGAAACTCGAATATGTCTTTGAACATTAGACAATATTTAGAAAGTGGTTCGAGTTGTTCAAAGTTTTGAATAAGGGTTTAGAAAGATTCTTGTTTCATATAACAGCCTGGAGATAAGCAAGGTAGGAATAGAGTGAAACAGGTTTAGAAAATGAGAAGTAATTTTTTTTATCCCTTTGTAAATGAGATATCACTTGGAAATCTTTTCTATCCTGTGATTATCAAAAAGTCTTTAAAAATCATATTAAGAGATCATGTTTTTGAGAGTGCTCTGGGGTGAAAGTGTCCCCTTCTTCAATTTTATTTACCCCAGGTTACAGGTTATGTAGTCTTTAATATGTATAGCTGTAATTTTAATAATTTTAGGTGACTTTTAAAAACACAGGAGTGGGTAAATTTATATACATTTTACCCTTTTCTACTTTATAGAAAATGAATGGTCATCTCCGGTTATTGAATATTGCCTGTGCTGCAAAGGCGAAGTGGAGACAGGTTGTGCTTCAGAAGGCTTCCCGTGAGTCCCCGCTGCACTTCAGTCTTAATGGAGGAAGCGAGAAGGGATTCGGCATTTTTGTTGAAGGAGTAGAACCTGGTAGCAAAGCTGCTGAATCAGGACTGAAACGTGGTGATCAGGTAAGTAAATAACCAACCATTAAGATAAAGCCTTCTTATAAGTACTACATCTACTACTTTTGTTCTTATCTGATATTTCTTCAAATAAGCGTGATCAATTAAGGAAGTATTTTTCTGAGCCTCTTTTAGAGTTATTTTTTAAATGTACTTTTCAAATATCGATTATTTTTAATGGCAGACCTCATGTAGTGTTGCTGGAAGCGGCATGGTCCCCTGGGATTTGCCAGCGTGACCTCCTCTGAGTGGGCCTGCCAAGGATGAGGAGACTGTGTAACCTGGCACAGTCTCCTCTAGAATACCCGAGAAAGATCAGTATGTGAGTCAGCATCCTTGCAAATTCTGAAGGAGGCATTTCCACCTTGTAGCTCTCAAATGTAGATGGCAAAGATTACCATAGATGATGGTAATCATTAAATGATGGTCAAGTGGTAGCATAACTTCATCCATAAACAGAATGAGCCAGGTGAGGGCCTAGGAAAAAGGAGACACTTGGAGGAATTTGGTGGCAATTTATTCTTCTCATGTAGGTATTAGGTAAGTACAGAGCAAACCTGTTTCCAAATGTGATCTCCTGACAACATGAAAAATCCAATTCCTGGGTTTACCTCAATCCTATTAATCATATGAACTGCATCCTTAAGAGGTAAAGTCTGAGAATGTGTATTTTTAAAAAGTTCTCCAGATGATTCTCATGCACACCAAAGGGTACTTTCCCAAATCTAGCTGATCATCAGGATCACTTGGGAAACTGACTTTTCTCGTTTAAAAATTTGTTCATTTCATTCATTTAGAATGTGGCTTTATTTTACTTTTAACTGAGCCATACTATCTTTTTTTTTTTTAATTATAGGAGTATTCACATTATAAAAGTTCTATACTTCAGAAGAGTGGTTCTCAACCAGTGGGTGATTTCTGCCTCCCTTAAGGGGACATTTAGCAGTGACTGGAGGTATTCTTGATTATTGTGACTTAGGGATAACTGCTGGCGTGTCGTGTGTTGGCAGAGGCCAAGGATGCGGCTAAACAGCCTGTGTTGCCTAGTACAGCCTCCCTGACCAAAGGCTTATGTGGCCCAGAATGTCAGTATTGCAAGGGGTTAAGAAATTCTGATATATGCCGGAGGTGGTGGCTCACGCCTGTAATCCTAGCACTCTGGGAGGCTGAGGCGGGTGGATTGCTCGAGGTCAGGAGTTCAAAACCAGCCTGAGCAAGAGCGAGACCCCGTCTCTACTATAAATGGAAAGAAATTAATTGGCCAACTAAAAATATATACAAAAAATTAGCCGGGCATGGTGGCGCATGCCTGTAGTCCCAGCTACTCGGAAGGCTGAGGCAGGAGGATCGCTTGAGCCCAGGAGTTTGAGGTTGCTGTGAGCTAGGCTGACACCACGGCACTCACTCTACCCTGGGCAACAAGTGAGACTCTGTTTCAAAAAAAAAAAAAAACAAAAAAGAAACTCTGATATAAAGTAGTAACAACCCCTTTCTTTCTCTAAGGGGGCTTTTTAAAAATAGAGATTTCTGGGCCTTATTCCAGACTACTCATTAGGAATGTCTAATAGGTAGGATACTGGAGTCGTTATGTTTATTGTTCAAGTATTTTAATGTAAACACATTGAAGAATCTCATTCTTCACAGGAAAAAAAAAATAGTGAAGTCTATTGATTTCATTCCTGGAAATGAAATTTATCATTCTTTTACTTCCCTCAATTTTCCTAATTATTGTTGAAATGGTCTGAGATTATAGATTTAGATTATAGATTTAGATTATCATCATTTTTTAACATTAGCATTATGTTTCTTCTGTTTTAAGAATACTTCAGCATCACCTTTCTTTCAAAAAAAAAAAAAAAGAATACTTTTGACATTTCCGTTAAGCTTCATAAGCTTATAAGTAATCGCTTAGACACTTACACTAGTTTACTGATTTAATTGATCACCTCCCTTTTATCTATACCATATGTCCCCATTATTTCAATTCATTTCACAGTTGTCCTTAATTCCTCTTCTGGTACTTTTTTCAAAAAGTACAAGTGGGTACTAGTTTTATATGTCTTTGCACATGTCCGAAGATAACTTTTGTTCTATGGTCTATAAAATTTTTTCTAACAGTTTTTCTCTCTGAACATTGAAGTCATAGAAAATTGTGTCATCTTAGTGTTGCTCAAGAGAAGTCCAAGCAAACTTTTATTTTCTTTTTGTAGGTTCCTTTGGTCCCACCCCCACCCCCTCCACAGTGATCTTTATAAATTCTTTATTCTCTGTCCATGGAATCCAAAAACTTCATGGGATATGTTATATAAATAGATCTTTTTTTTTTTATTATCTTTGGATGGTACTAGATGAGCCAGTTTAGTAGGTAGATGCAAGTCTTTTTTTCAATTCTGGGAATTTTACTCCTGTAGAATGTTTTTTTACTTTTTTAATACTTTGTTTTTCACTGTCTTTTTCTTATCTTTTTGGCATCTTTATGTCGATCCCTTAGATCTGTCCTCTGTACTGCTTATTTTTTGTTCATTATGTTTATCTCTTTATCCTTTTTCCTTGGAATCAGTATTTTTTAAAATAAGCTATTCTGTGATTCTGAGGTACAGCCAAATTGGGAAAGCTCTGCTGTGAAAGATCAGGAGTGTTTGCGTGGAAGCTGTCTCAGTTGCACTCCTTGTTGTTTGGCTGTCTGATTCAGCCAGTGGCAGAAAACAATATTAAATATATTTAGAGTGCCCCTTTTAAATTAATCACCTCTCTTTGAATTGCAGTAAATTTACATTTAGAACATTTGAGGAACTTGCATATGTATACACAAGCAATAATTTTTGTTAGCTCATTTAACATAATTAAAATTTTTCCTTCATATATAAACTATCCTATGTGTTTAATTCCTTTAATATGATCCCAGAGGGAGTGAACTTTAAAAAAAAAATGTTTATAGTAGAGAATTCGGGAACTACAATAATATAAACATAGAGAATACAATATAGAGAATACAATAAATATAGAGAAAAAAATGGTAGTCCAGCTTCTCACAGAGATAACCATTATTCACATACATACATACATTTTATTTAAATTCCATTTTATTTTTCACAATTAAACTTCGAAAGTTGTTGAAGTAACTAATACTGTTCTGTCTTACACTTTTCTCTGAAGATAATGGAAGTAAATGGACAAAACTTTGAGAATATTACATTTGTGAAGGCCCTTGAAATTTTGAGGAATAATACTCATCTTGCACTTACTGTAAAGACCAACATTTTTGGTGAGTTTTGTTATAAAAACTTCCTGAGCTTTTTTTTAAGAATAGAAAAAAGTCATTATAATGAGAGGAAAGCTATTAATAAAATATAAACATGTTTTTGTCTAGTCTGTTGTTTTTATTATCTTTGGTGTTGAACTATCGTGTTCTAGGCTTTTCCTTTTGTATTTGTTTTTAATTATTATTTTGATATCTTAAAAAGTAAGTTTTAAAATAGGTATACAGCTACATCCAATCAGTTTTGAAATGTTTATAGAACATCTATTATGTACTGTACTCTGCTGGAGGGATACTTAATGAAACTTAGACTGTCCTGAATAAAACTTAGAAATCATAATCAGGCTTTTATCCCCCTGCTAATATGACTTAATTAAGAATTATGGATTTCTAATAACAGCATACTCTACCTTTCTATATAGAAATGTTGATTATAGTACCTATAGTGTGATTGTATCATGTTTATATTGGAATAAAGCAAGGACTATATTTGTACTTTTAACTAAATCTACTGTTGGATTTTTTGAACTTTCAAGAAAGATTTACTGTCATTTGGTATCATTAGACACCATAGGATTTTTTGCTAAAATTCTGAGACGGGCAACAGGAAAGCAGTACAGCAATTGGAATGTCAAATAAATTTAAGAGTCCTTATGAAATGGGGAGGAAAACAATTCCTCTAGCTTTTTTAGGTTACGGTTTGAGAAGTAAGAGGTGACTTTAAAAGCTGAGCCTATGGAAAGGAAGTGAGTTTTAGTTGTTTTTTTTTGTTTTGTTTTTTTAACTTGGGCTCGTTATGCTTTGCTTAGTCATAATGAAAAATGAAACATTTGGTATTTTTCCTTTTTATTATTTGAGTCCCTTTGACTGATTACATCATTTTTATGACTGTCTATTGGAAAATTTCTAATATTGTATTTAGCATAGAATAAATAGGCATTCACAGTTTTGGGGTTTCCTGGAGTTTGGACTAGTATCAAGAAATGCCAACTTTAGGTTAAACTGAAGGGATTCTAGTTTTGAAAAATATGAAAGCATAGTTTTCTCTATCACCTTAGGCAAATTTTTTAATCTCTGCAAGCTTCAGTTTCTCCTGCTGTAGTATTTCATAGGGTTCTTGTAAGGATCTAATACTTTTAAACCTTTTGTACCTGTCACATAATGATTACTAACTGGTATCAAATATTATTATATATGAAAATATAGAGATAGTGTAATATAGTGGTTAACAACATGTACCCTAGGAGACAAAAAAAAAAAATTCAGTCTGAGGATGCAAAACACAGGGAAACCACACCCTCACTACTCTTTTGAGTAGTGAGAAAAGAGTTTTCCAGTAGAACTCTAGATTGGACCTGGCAGAGGGGAGGACTTACATGGTGCGGCAAAAGGGGGGACACAGCAGTCAACACTTACTCAGGTAGAATGCAACCAGCCAGGCAGAACACCATGGGGTATCTCAAAGGAACATTTCTGAAACATTTGTAGAAATAGAACATTTTAGTCTGGAATTGATGCTCACAATAAAGCCCTGGTAACTCTGGCATCACCATGAAGTAGAGTTGAGCAGTTAGGTCATCTTCCGTGGAACTCACAGTCAGAACATCTACAAAAAGGAAATCTATAATCAGAAGCATTTGTTTAGATGATACCACAGAAAACCTACTTGGTCATTTTCTGTTACTTAAAACTGACAGCCAGCATGAGGAGAACAAGGATCATTGAGGGGGTGTGTGTGGGGGAACCTAATAATAAGTAATCTTATAAATTCTGGAGAAAATGCTTAATTTAAGGAACAGAAGAAAAACATTTCTAGAGCTCTGCTCAGAGTAATGTGAAAACTCATCCCTTCAAACAATAAGATGAGGAAAAAAAAAAACATTGAGAAAGAAGTAACTCCTAGAGTTACTTAAAATATGGTTGCAAAGACAAAAACATTTAACAAAAGGAACAGATAATAAAGTCAAGAAAATCTCCCAGATTGTAGAACAAAAAGAAAGAATAAAATTAAGCACTATTCCAGGAGATCTAAAAGAAAATGTAAGGAAGAAAATAATTAGGAAATAATAGCAGAGACTATCCCAGAATGAAAGAAGGATGTGACTCTTCTAATTCAAAGGGCTCACTATAATCTGAGCAAAATGGATTTAGAAAACTTGTGTCAACTTTCCACTTCCAGTACTGATTGAAGGCAAATAAAAGAGCTAGACTAAATATAAATAGTAGCTAAGAACAAGCATAAAAATCCAAAAAGATAATGAAGAACTACATGACATAGAACAGAAAGCAAATTGGACCTTTAAGAGATGAACTGGAGCTATATCTGCCCTGGGAATTTACTGACTGCACCTCTGTGGAACATAGCCTTCCAGGAAAAGGTGAAATGGTTGTGCTCATGGCACAAACTCCGGATATGTCAAATCCTTTCCCTGCGCCTAGGACTGTACCGCAAAGCAATGTCTTTTTTTCCAGGGCCATTTCCCATCCATAGAGTATAGCTGGGAGAAGGAGCTCCTTGGTTAACTTAAAGGTTTGTAGTGTAGTGCCCACCAAAGAACAAAACACTCTAACATAACAACCTTTGTTAGGGTTGGGGACTTGAAAGGTTCACTTAAAATTGATGGGGTCTGAACTCTAGCTGCCCTTATAGGTAACCCAGAAAAACCTCAAGTTCTGGTCCTGGACTTTTTTTTTTTTTTTTTTTTTTTTTGAGATGAAGTCTAACCATGTGCCCAGGCTGGTCTCAAACTCCTGGGCTCAAGTGGTCCTGCTAACTCAGTCTCTTGAGTAGCTGGGACAACAGGTGCACATCACCCATCTATTATTTTAATTTTTAATAAAAGTAATACATGCGTGTATTTTGAAAATTAAAATACTACAGGAAGATACACAATGGGACCTTACTGTGTGTATTATTTTGTACTTTTTCACATCAATGCATTGATCTTCGTGTTATATAATTTTAATTATTGTATAAAATTCCATTGTATTATTACCATAATCCATTGAGCTAATGTCATTGATGTAATAAAAATCCTTTGCTCTTACCTTTTTTTGTTTTTTGAGACAGAGTCTCGCTTTGTTGCCCAGGCTAGAGTGAGTGCCATGGCGTCAGCCTAACTCACAGCAACCTCAAACTCCTGGGCTCAAGCAATCCTACTGCCTCAGCCTCCCGAGTAGCTGGGACTATAGGCATGCGCCACCATGCCCGGCTAATTTTTTTTCTATATATATATATTAGTTGGCCAATTAATTTCTTTCTATCTATAGTAGAGACAGGGTCTCGCTCTTGCTCAGGCTGGTTTGAAACTCCTGACCTCAAGCAATCCACCCGCCTCGGCCTCCCAGAGTGCTAGGATTACAGTCTGGAGCCACCTCACCCGGCCTGCTCTTACCTTGTATGCACATTCAGATCTACCTATATGACAAATTTCTCGAAGTAGAATTACTTTAGACAAATACTGCAGGGTTTTACTTTCTGAAAGTTTATCCCAATCTACACTTCATTCATCAGTATATAAGAATCCCTCTGCAGTGGGTATAATTAACTTTTTAATTATTGATACAAATTCTTTAATAAAGGTGAGGTTAAGTACCTTTCTTTGTGTTTCAACATTTCTATAAAGTATTTTAATTTCATCTGTCCATTTTTATGTTGAGTTACTCACAGTGCCTTATAAATGAAGAGCAGTATCTTTTTATCATAAGGGTTGCAAATATTTTTCCCATGTTTGTGTTTTGACTTTTGTGTGTGCATGCGCATGCAAATACACACATGTAGAGAGAGTGGCAGTTTTAATTTTTATATAGTCAAATTTATTAAACTTGTATAGATTTTGGGCACTTTCATTTCTCATTCCTATACAGTATCTGGTATTTCTATTCAATAACATTGTAATTACATCTGCTCACTATCCTTTTATTTTGTCCTTAACTAATTTTTTTTTTATTTTATTTATTTTATTTTAGCATATTATGGGGGTAAGTATTAAGGTTATGTGTATTGCCCATGCCCCCCCCCTCGAGTCAGAGCTTCAAGCGTGTCCATCCCCCAAACATTGCATATCCTACTCATTGTGGTTGTATATACCCATCCCCTCCTCCCCTCTCCCACCTGCCCAACACCTGATAAATATTATTTCTATATGTCTACTTAGGTGTTGATCTGTTAATACCAATTTGCTGGTGAGTACATGTG